CCCCCCACCGGAGGTGCTCCCTCGCGCTAATGCGCGCGCACGTCCATTCACACAACGAGTCGAAGCAGCTCTTCCTCCTCCTCCTCCTCCGCTTTCTTCCACAGACCCTCCTCACACTGCCTCGTCTGTGTGTGTGAGAGAAAGAGAAATGAGCATGCGCAGTTCGTACCCACGCACGCACGCACGCACTCTTATTCTCCCGTTCCCTTACAGCCTCTCTAAAGCATGCGCGCCCGCGCGGATTCTCTTCTTCACGCGCCTCTCGAGCTCGCGTGCACACGCACGCGCGCCTCCTGTGTCTCTCGGCCGCGCTTAAGGGCTTACAGGCGTTGTTTATGCTGAAGGGATGGATGTTCAAACAAAATATGGAGATATTTGATAACAATCTATCTATACGGAGATACTTGATGATAATATTATTGATAATAATGATGGTAATAAAGGACCGCTTCCCGAAAAGGGTGGCCCGTGAGGGCCCATATTTATTTATTTATTTATTTCAGGAGGCCTCTGTTCCGGCGCCGCTGTCGTCGCGACGTTGGGCAGCGACCGAGCTCAGACCGCCCCTCGCCCGTTCCCATTCTCTTGGGTCCAAATTAGTAACGGCCCAAGAAGCCGCAGCCTCTGAGGCGGGAGTCTTCTCGGCCCAACCGCTGCCGTTTCTGCGCCGAGGCCCAAACCCTCAGACAATAACTGCGCGGCCCCTGTCCGGCCTCGCCGCCTCAGCCACTCAGCGCCCAGGCCCGGCCCTCTCTCGCCCAGCCAGCCAATGGCGAGCGGCCCTCTCTCCTCTCCAGCCAATCGCTAAAAAAGTTATTGAGGGGGCTGCTTGCGTCATCGCTTGTGGCAACAGCAAAATTGACTCTGCCGGCATCATAAAGACCTCGAAAAGGGGCTCCGGTGTCGAAAGGAAGGCCGGTTGAGGCTCGGATCAAAGTCAGGCAGCCCGAACTTTTGGGCTGCATCTACACATTGCAGGAGCAATCCGGTTTGAGACCGCTTTAACCGCCCTGGCTCAATGCTAGGGAATCATGGGAAGTGTAGTTTTGTGAGACATTTAATCTCTTCTGTCAGAGAGGCTCTGGTGCCACAATAACCTGCAACTCCCAGGATTTCCTAGCGCCCAACCAAGGCAATTAAAGCGGTCTCAAACTGGATTATTTCTGCAGTCTGTTTTGGAACTTAGAGAAGGGGATGACAACATGGAGCCACTCTTTTACAGACCCCCAAGTTCTTTCTTTTTTTAAAAAAAATTGACATAGTATTTTACTGCTGAAATTCAGTTGCAAACTATTTAATGCGCTATAGTGAATGGGAAAAGGAGCTATAAATGTGCTATAACCTATGAAATAATATCATAATTAATCTAATTTCTCATACACTAGTCCCTCCACGTTTGCGGCTTTGACATTTGCAGATTTGATTATTCATTGATTTTATTAGTATGTTCTTTCTAGGAATATATAGGTCCTCCAGCACAACTCTATGGTCAACTTTAAGCAAAATTCACACTTCTCTAGGCATTTGTAGCTCCTCCAGAGCAATTCTGTGGTCAATGTCTGGCAGATGCTGACCACAGAGTTGCAGTGGAGGACCTAGAGATTCCTAGAGAGGTGTTCTCTCAGGTAAAAACATAGTGTTTTTGTTATAAGCTGTTTTTCCACATTCATGGGGGTCCTGTGCCTCTAACCCCAGAGAAAGTGGAGGGACAAGTTTAGTTCAATATCAATCATCCTTATTATTGTTAATATTATACTAACTGTAGTCAGTTTAAGTATATGGACGTTATCACACGTGGGCCAGAAAGCGATAATAAAGTGG